ACTAGCGCAGTGCGAATATAGCAATGCAGCGGCGCGATGCGGCGGAGCGCTCACGCACACTACCAGGCGCGCGGCTCACTGACGTGCTTCCGGCTAAAGGACAACGCCGATTGGATTAGCTTTACTCGATATGTACTGCTTCGTTGAGCATTGTAGAAAAAAATGGTTCAGGACTTTTCGACTCAATTTTTAGTCAGGAATAACGCTATACTATTAGTGGGCGCTATTTAATTAACACCCTGTATACCGCGGACATTACTAAAATGTATCACCAAATTCGAGTCGATACCCGCGACGTAGATTACCAAAGGATCCTCTGGACAACGAGCGAATCCGACCAACCGAGTGAATTTCGCCTTCTAACGATCACGTACGGAACGGCATGCGCCCCGTTTTTAGCGCTTCGCGTTTTAAAACAGTTGGTCGACGACGAAGGTCGTGACTTTCCTTTAGCGGTTAATGTGTTACACGACCAAATATACGTGGATGATGTGCTGTTCGGCGATAGCGACCCTCATCGTCTACGCCTCATTCGCGACCAGCTCCGGGAGCTGCTTCAATGCGGCGGGTTCGAATTGCGCAAATGGGCGAGTAATACTCCGTCGCTATTATCGGATATCAGCCCGGACAATCACGGCCTCGCCTGTCAGAAAACGTTGCAACCGGACAAAAATTTAAAGGTGCTGGGGATAGGGTGGAGCTCGGCGTCTGATGTATTTCGTTATACAGTCTCTCTCCCTCCCGTGGTACCGCGATCCAAACGCCTAATTCTTTCGACGATCGCTAAACTATTTGATCCGCTGGGTTGGGTGACTCCAGTGACCATAAAAGCAAAAATTTTCCTGCAATATCTGTGGCGACTAAAGTTAAATTGGGACGACGAACTTCCGACCGAACACGTTCCAAAGTGGACCGCGATCTATTCCCAGTTAACCGCGCTCAACAAGCTCGATCTGCCGCGATGGATGGGAACCGACGCGCACGCGAGCCAGTATGAGATTCACGGATTTTTAGATGCCTCATCCGCCGCTTACGCCGCGGTCGTTTATCTGAAGACAATATCGGATTCGGATCAGACCATGATTTCGCTGGTTATGGGGAAATCCAAAGTCGCTCCTATTAAACCGATGAGCATTCCTAGGCTCGAGTTAGCTGTCGCGGTCTTACTGTCCAAGTTAATCCAATATGTTCAAAAGGCCCTTCAGATCAGTACGATCAATTCTTATTGTTGGACTGATTCCACCGTTGTTCTCGCTTGGCTCCAACAGCACCCGTCAAGATGGAAAACATGTGTTGCCAACCGGGTCCACGAGATTCAGTCAAATCTCCCGACCGCCATGTGGCGTCACGTGCCTACGCTCGATAACCCAGCCGATTGCGCTTCTCGCGGCGTGCTCGGGGACGACTTAACGCACGCCTTATGGTGGAACGGCCCACCATGGTTAAAACTTTCTTGTGACCACTGGCCTCCGCCCACATGTGCTACTCAGTCTGACTCAGAGGTGGAGCAAAAAGTCACAAGTCACTCTGCTCATCCAAAATTCGATTGGGATCTTCAAGCTAAGTTCTCTTCATGGCATACCTTGATTCGCGTGACTGCCTATGTCATGCGATTCGTCACTCTTTGCCGCCGGAAAACCGATCCTTTCACTCCCCGCCAAACCACCGGTATCGCGCTCCACGCCGATGAGTGTCAAGCGGCCAGAGTGTTTTGGTTTCGCCACATTCAAACCGATGTGTTTCTCAAAGAACTTACAGCCCTGAGAAATCAATCTCAGTTATCACCAAAAAGTTCAATTGCAGCACTCCATCCCTTTCTTGACAAAGAGGGTCTTCTGAGAGTCGGAGGGCGCTTGAAAAACGCTCCACTTCCATTCAAACGAAAATATCCGATTCTTCTCGCTTCTCATCCGCTGGTGACTCGTCTTGTCAGGACCACGCATATTCGATCGCTCCATGCGGGTTTACAGTTGACGTTAGCCAAGCTTCGACAGGAGTTTTGGATACTGCGCGCGCGCACGTTGGTCAAGTCGGTCATATATCAGTGTGTTACTTGCACTCGCGAAAAGGCCGCCTCGCCGTTGCAACTTATGGGGGACCTTCCGTCTCCGCGAGTTACCCCGTCATCTCGGAGCTTTCTACATTGCGGCCTCGATTACGCCGGACCAGTCCAGATTCGCATTTAAAGCGGTCGCGGTATCAAATCGCGTAAGGCATACATTGCCTTATTCATATGCCTCGCCAGCAAAGCAATTCATTTAGAACTGGTCGGCGATTACACGACGTCCGCATTTTTGGACGCGTTCTCGCGTTTCTGCGCTCGTCGAGGACTTCCGCGGGATATGTATTCAGACAATGGAACGACGTTCGTCGGCGCAGACAAGGAACTGCAACGAGTCTATCGTGCGGCGATGCAAGTTTCAAATTTCCGTAACGCTACCGCCTCCGACAATATTGCCTGGCACTTCCTTCTTCCTTCCGCGCCTCATTTTGGAGGACTGTGGGAAGCAGGCGTCCGTAGCGTCATATTCGACGAATTCTCAAGAATGCGACTCTAACGTTCGAAGAGTTCACGACGTTGTTATGTAGGGTGGAAACGTGCTTAAATTCTCGTCCTCTCGCACCGCTTCGAGATACCCCGGACGATTTCGAAAGTTTAACGCCCGTCATTTCCTCATCGGATCCGCGCTTAATGTCAGTCCAGAACCTTCCGTGTTGAATCTCAAGGAAAATCGATTGTCTCGCTGGCAGCTAGTCAGGCATATGACCGAGAGATTCTGGCATCTATGGCAGACAGATTATTTGAATACACTACAGCAACGCACGAAATGGAAGACTCAAAAGCCTTCTGTAAAGGTCGGACAAATGGTGCTTTTGAAGAATTCCACACTCCCACCCTGCAAATGGGAACTCGGTCGCATTCTTGAGTGTCATGCCGGATCCGACGGATTAACTCGCGTCGTGACTATCAAGACCGCTACGTCAGTGTTCAAACGACCGATCGTTAAAATCTGCGTCCTCCCAGTCGATACTGAAAGTCCATCCCGGTAGCGTGCCGCCGATAATTCGTTACTGTCGCTTATGTATCGCACGTAGAGTTAAGTTCTTTCTGGTAAGAATTTTTTGTTGTTGTTAGCTTTAAGTTTTGTGTGTTTTCCTTTTGATTTCAGGATCGTTGCAGTTCCAAACTTCATTAATATGTTTGTTTAATTTAGGATCACACGGCGGGCGGATCCACCGTACACCTCACCAGCGATTTCAAGTATCTAGTTTGCCGCTAAATTGAAACCGTTGTTTCAAGGCGGGCGGTATGTTCGCGATCGGGCGAGTCGCACGCGTCGCGAGCTCGCGTCTTGAGCGGAGCGTGTCACGTGCCGCTCAGCTATTCGGCGATCGCGTTCGGGCAGCATTCGGCAAATCCGGCATCGAATACTACGAATCGTACCGCAAGTCGCCGACGCCAGCACGAGTTTCCCCGAATTGCCCTCTCCCTCGTCACGAGACGGGAATAATCGGCTCATCTCGATTTTAACGCGGTGTAAGCCGACACTGTAGTTTTGCGAATCGATCCTAGCAGTCAGAGGACTTATAACTTCAGATTCTTCGAGTAATCAATTGAGATCTACCGCGATCTGGCCCTTCGGGTATTCTGCGAGTGTCGCAACAGTAGTTTCGCCGATCGTGCGTGTCTCGATCTCGCGTCTCGTTCGAAGCAGAGTTCACCGCGCGCGTGTTCTTCTGCCTTATACGTTCGTCGTCCGACGGTCTCATGCCTCCGTATATCTCTTACCTATATCCATATTACTTACGTATGTTTCACTAATGTATTGTCCTATTAATAAAGGGGGGAGGTTCGCGAGGATGAGAATCTGGACAACGCTCATAAAGATTTCTCTTTAGGTGCT